CACCAGCTTAAGAGAATCAACTGAAGCTTTTTAAAGATTTCTTTAACACTTTTTGTCTATTAGATTAATGTTTCCAGTCTATCTGGACACAAGGCCAATGATTTCTTGCAAGCGGATGTTCTCCAAATGTTGGGGATGACACAAGAGATAAAAGACTTAAGAGAAATATTTTCCAACAGTTGTTTGCTTGTGTATTTTTGTTTGCTGATATTTTTGTTAGGGCTTTGAAAAACTACTCAAGACTTGTTTTAGATTCCAGCTAGCCTTTTTAAACTAAGCATACTTGAAATTTGTGGGATAAATGCTGTAAAAATAAAATTCTTAAGAGGAAAGAAAAGAGTTGGCTTTTGTTGTTATTGGTTTGGGTTGCTGAAAAGATACTTGAGGAAAAACACAATCAAATAATTTAGAAAAAGTGAAGTAAATAAAAATAATTTCTTCATCAATACTGATTATTCATATTTTGAGCATAGACTTTGATTAGAAAACACAAAAATGCATGTTTTATAAATATAGGTACACATTTATTTACATGTTCAATGTTATATTCTAAGGGTAAATCATTCTTTGTGTAATGTATTTAACACAAATGGGATTACTATATGATTTTTGATCTCATGGTTTATATTTAACAGTGAAATCCTTTGGTGTGCAAAAATACAGAGTCAGAAACACCTATGTATCCATCACTTAGACTTAATTTACCATTTAGTCTTATAAACATACTTTAAAAATTATTTTATAATTTTTATTTTTGTTAATCTATGCTTGCAGTACATAATGGTTACACTCCTCGTGGGGAGCTCTCCAGGTACACAGCGTGCCTTTACCCTTTTCCTGTCCCCCACCCCGATCACGTGGGGCCCTTCCCATTTGCAAAAGATGGTATCTGAAGAAAAAAAATAATAGGTACCAAAGGCACTGGGGACAACTCCACCACTTCCCACACCGTTTGGTTCCTCCTCAGATGAGACTGGCACCTTCACTCTTATTTGATATACTTGTGTCTATGCTTATTTAGAAAATGGCCCTGTGTATTTTAAAATTTTTGTCAATGTTATTTCATGTGTTCCTTGTCCATTTGGTCACTAAGTATTGCATTTGAGAATTGAACCAGAAGAATCTTTGTATCTCTAGTTTGATTGTTTTAAATGATTTATAGTCTTAGATCATATGCTAGTATCATTCATCCCTACCGACGGACAATTAATTTGTTCTCGATTTTTCCATATTAAAAATGATATTGCAAAGCACTTTATATCTCCTTGTACTTCCATGTAAGATTGCTTTGTAACTTACTCTTGAAAGTAGAATTGTTAGGGGCCAGGGAGATGGCTCAGTGGAATAAGCGCTTCCCTGGCAAACACAAGGGCCTGAGTTCAATCCCCGGTTCCACAAAAAAAAAAAAAAAAAAAAAAAAAAAAAAAAGAGAGAGAGAGAGAAAAAAAGAAAGTAGAATTGTGGATTAAAGGAACCTACATTTACTGCTCATTGCAGATATGAGTTTACAGCCCAGTCAGTTTTGTGCCATTTTGCTTTATCTGTTTTGAGCCTGTGTTTTTGCATAGACATAGTTCTGGAATTATTTTATTCGAATGGTAAATTGTTCCATTTGTCATTATGTAATAACCCTTTGCATCCTTAATAATACCTGCTTTTTCTCTTGTGATTCTCCTGTTTATAGCTTCCCAAGTGCTGGGATTACAGGCGTGCGCCACCACGCCAGTCTTGTTTTCTCTTCAGAGTCTTATTTTACGTGACCTTGATATTTCTGTATCAGTTTTTTACCTATCTCTTTGTGTCATTTCTGTTTTAAGTTTGTGCTTTTTTGTTTAATCCAATCTGAAAATATGTAGCTTTTAACTGGTAAAATTTAATCCTTTAGGCTTAATTACGAGGGTGGATACATTTGAGAACATTGAATCCTAACTTCTCTGCTACCAGGGAAGTTAGATACATGAAAATTTATTTTTTCCATATATTTTTTGTCTCTTTTCACTGGGATTTTTTTGTATCTTGACAAATTTCCTCAGTTACCTTTTCACGGGCATGCATTTTTCCCTTCTGCTGCTTTCGAGGTTATATATTTTATTATTAGCAATAATATATTTTAGTTGGTTATCCTTAAATGTTTAGGTCCAGTTTTATCTAAGCAATCTAAACTCACCACATAGTGCTAACCTTTCCTGTACATAATACAAGGGCTTTGCAGTAATTTAATTCTACTTTTTACTCCTTGCTTTTATTTTCCTTTAGTCATCACTTGAGTTTTTATGTTTTATAGTCAAATTCTTGCTGTGATTTAGTTATTTGCTTGCATTGTCTCACTTCTTTTCTTTTCTTTTCTTTCTTTTTTTTTTTGGCTGGCTCAGGCTGCCTTAAGGACAGGTCTGATAAAACATATGAAGCTGGGGATCGAACTGCGGTCCTCTGCACCTGACTGTGTTGCCCAAGCCCCCCTCTTGTTCAGTTTTCTTCTAAGGATTTGTGATTTTGTTTTTATCTCATTGAGGTCTCGTGAGTATAAACTCAGTCTTCTGTTGTCTGAAAATATCTTTCTTTCCCTCTTCCTGGACCGGTCGACCAACGAGGTCTGCAGTGGCCGGCGATCGTATCTCCTCACTGCTCAGCTCTGCTTCTGCCTGCCCTCTTTGGAGCTCTTCCCTGTCTCAGTGTTCTTCTTCTGTATTTTAAACTTTTATGTTTTTCCTAACGAGTTGCAAGAGTTCTGCATTATCTTGCCCGTGGTAATTGTTACATCGGGTAATAATCTTTTCAAATTTCTTTTCAGTACTTTCTGTACTTCATCAATCTGATTTTTTTTTTTTTCCCAGATGTGACGATCTATAGGTTCTATCTCTTTGAATTAACAGGACCTCTCTCCTGTTCTGTCTGCCTTGTCCCCTCTTCCTTGTAGGGAGACAGTCTGGGCCTTTTGAGTCCACTCCTTTGTCTCTTGCATTGCTGTTCTCCGCTCCCTCAGCCCCGTCTTGCAGCACAGTGCTTCCGCCGTGGTGTCGATTACTCTGCAGCTTTCTCTCATATGTACTACATATTGCATTTTCACGCTATAGGTTTTGTTTAAATACATCAACTTTTTCCAAAGTGTTCTATTCTTTATATTTTCTAGTTCCTCTAATTCTCCTTTTATTTTTGTACTAAAGTTAAAACTTTTTTTTTTTATATTATTATCTCCTATTCCTGGAGTTATGAATAGAGGACTTGTTCGATTTTGCCTTGGTGACAATTTAGCCCCTGTGCCATTTTGTTCTTATAGTGAGCTCATTTTTAATTGGAACTATTTTTTTATATGAGTCCTGCGTTATGGTTGTTTCAAATGAGTCATTTGTGTTTGCTTATATGTTTTCAGGGGTTTGAGTTAAGATCAGTTTGTTTTTTAACTATAATTTCCTCAGATCTTTATACTTGATGGACAGTTTCATTTAATTAGTTTAATTTCTTAGCCACAGAGTTGGTATTCCAGGCAAATACAGGCCATCTTTTCATTTTGTTGAGTCAGTGACTACAGTGTTCTTGGTACTTTTCAGTGTGATCCTTTTCAGGACCCAAACTCCAAAATAATTCCAGCTTCAGCCTTGGGTTAGTCTCGTATGGCCTTCCCATTGCTCTCCCTGGCCCCAATAGGGACATTACAGAAACCTAACAACAACAACAACAACAATAACAACAACAACAACAAAAAGTAAATAAAACTTAGTCATAAAATGCTGTGATCTACGTCCAGGTCCAAAATTCCCCTGGGTGTCACTGTTGTCTGATTTTTTTTTTTTTTTTTTAATGAATCTGGACTCCTTTTCATTTCTGGAAATAGGCAGAGCAGGGGTACATCTCTTTCATTAGAGCCCTGCTATGTACTAGCTGGTTTTGTTAAAAATTTTTTAGCATTCCTGTCTATTTCTAGGAAGGAGGTCTGTCTTACCGTGGAGTGCCACCTCGCCATGTGTAGGCCTCTTGCTTCGCGATGTCTTCCTTTGTCATTCACTCACTCTCATCTTCTTGTGTCATTGGGTTATTTTTTTCATTAGCCTCAGCATTTCATTGTTCAGCTAAACCATACATTTTTAACCAATCCGTATTGAAGATTATTTTTGTTCTTTCTTTTTTTTTTTTTTTTACCACATTGAACAGTAGTGCAGCCGTGTATCCTTAGTCTTTCTTTTTTCTTTTTCTTCTTTCTTTCTTTCTTTCTTTCTTTCTTTCTTTCTTTCTTTCTTTCTTCTTTTTTTTTTTTTTCAGTACCTGGGATTGAACTCAGAACCCTGTGCTTGCCAGGCAGGCACTTAAGCCATTGAGCTGTCTCCCCAGCCCTGCAGCCAGGTATCCAGGTACACATATTTTTGTGTCCCTGTCAAAAAACTCACCAGGCTAATGGGTGTATGTTTTTTTAAGGACTGGATAAGTATCACAGGGTTGGTAAGACAGTTTCTGTCCTATTAGCCCAGCTCTATGTTTGTTCTATACCTTTCCACTGCACTTTTCTGTTGCTGTCATGTGTAAGTTTGATAGTACGAGATCTCACTGTCTTAGTTAGCATTTCTTTAATATGCTATTGTGTGTGTATTCATGAGTTTTTTTCAGATTTTCTCTTTTGTAAATTGACTGCTCATGTCTTTATATCTCCATTTTTAAATTGTTTAAATCTGTTACTTATTTGGTACAGGGTCTCTCTATGCCTCTCAGACTCATAGTGATCTTCCTGTCTCAGCCTCCCCAGCTCTGAGATTACAGGCGTGCACCACCGTACCCAGTTTCAGGGCTGGAATGGCACACGGGGTGTCAGAGTTGGCACAGCATGTGCTACTAGAGATTGAACCCGGGTCCTTGCGCGTGCCAGGTAGGCACTTAGACTGCCGAGCTATCACCCAGGCTCTTGTTTTTCCATTTTTAACTGCTGATTTTTTCCTGGTACTGGCAACTGGACTCAGGACCTTGCGCTTGCCAGGCAGGCTCTGTGCTGCTGAGCTATCTCCTTGGCCCTCAAAAATACAGGACACATGAATTTGCATGTCATCCTTGCACAGGGTCCATGCTAATCTTCTCTGCATCATTCCAATTCTTAGTACATGTGTTGCCAAAGTGAGCACTCACCTCTGATTTTAAAGACTTCTTTAAATCATAGGAGGATTCCTTTGCCTGTCAGGTAGATTATAATTTGTTTCCGCTGTTTGTGTTCTAAACTTGACTGTGGTGGGTTTACATTACATGCTGATAGCTACATTAAAATGTTAATGGATTTCGGTTTATTACTAAGATTCTCAAAGAAGGAGTATATAGTATTTTGATTGGAAGAAAAAGTTGTAATTCATCATCAGAGTAATTCATATAATAAGCAAGTGGAGGAGTATGCAAAAATCAATAATTCCCAGAATAAATAAGGAAAAAACTTACATACTTAAAATGATTAAAATGATGAAAACAGTAAAGTAAAAGAAACACATTAAGTTTTCTAAGAATAAAATTGAACCAGTATACATACAATGGAAAGATTCCAACACAGTTCTTGGAAAGTAGAAATAAGTTGAGTAACGGGTAATAGATCTAGCAGGTCCTAATGAGACAAGTCTAAACATTACTGTTGATGTATGTATGTACATATTACTAAGGATTAATTATTAATTAAATAGGACCTACAAAGGCACTTCTACTATACTTGTGAGAGTTATGTGGATGGCCTAATCAACCTAAGTAAGTTTAATATTTGGGTTATGTGAACTCAGTATATGGTTCATGTAATGTCTACCCATTATGTTCCAAACAGTAACTTATGGGCAATAATTTTGACTTACTAGATTGATCATACAAAATAGCTGATTTTTTTTTTTTTTTTCGGAACAGGGGATTGAACTCAGGCCCTCGCGCTTGCCAGGGAAGCACTTATTCTACTGAGCCATCTTCGCGGCCCCAGATAGCTGATTTTTTTTTAAGCCTCTTTGGAACTGAAGTTTTAGTGATTTCATCTTGTTCAACCTAGTAGCGCCTTATGTTTATTTTTGTCCTGCCTCCTCTCTACCCGCCCAGCTGCTAGGAAGAGCCAAGGTTCATTTAACCACCTCAGGAGTCCCCAATTCCTTTTCTCCCCTGGGCTCTGGCTGCACTAATTAACCGTCTTTCTGTACTTTCAGTGTTTTCTCTTTCCTTTGGCTCCATTTTTTCAGCATGGTCAAGACTATTCTATTTATCTATGAAAATATATTACAGAAGCAAAAATGAAATGTATTGTGTGGAATTTAAACAATTCATAATAATTGAAGGATTTTTTTTTTTTTTTTTTTTTTTGTATTTAGTACAGGGTCTCACTGCATAAATCAGACTCGGAGTGATCCTTCGGTTTTCAGCCTCCCAAGCACTGGGATTACAGGAGCGCGCCACCACACCCCGTCTCAGTTGCTATCTCAGTGCACTCCAGGGGTGGGGCCGGCACAGCATGCCGGGAATTGAACCCCGGCCACTGCGCTCTGCCTAAGCAAGCACTTCAGTCTTCTGAGCTACAAAGCTTAGGTTTTCGTTTATCTCATTTTATAGAAAGTTGACATACAAAGCTTATATATGTTAGAGAAAGTAGAATATTACCTTCTGCTGTTGGAAAATGTATGGAATATTCTTAGTTATTATAAAAATGCGACCCATTTAATTGTCTATAAATAACCAAAAGTTATTCTCATTGCTTTCCACTGTCCCCGTGCCCCTTAGACCATAACTTTTCTGTCTGGGTTCTTGTTCCTCTCTCCATCCTCTGACTCTGCCGTGGCTTCGTTTTGTATCGTTTCCATCACTGGCCGTCCTGATACTCTCTTCATATCTCTGAGTGAGGCAGCATTGTATAAAATCACTTGGGGAAAGCCTGTTGCTCAGAACACGACCCCTGACTCGGAGAGATTTGTGATGTGACTTCATTAATGCTCACCAATTACTAAGTTGAACTCTGTTGATAAAAATGTAACAAGATGTTTATAAAAAGCCATCTAATGATTAATTTTGTTGACAGTGATCATAGGGTTTGTTTTTTCTCTGATGTTCAGACAGAATATGTGATCAGAGCAGACAACACTGCCTTACCAAGTGTCTTAATTATTTTTCTCATTGCTGGAACAAAATACCCAACATCTATAAGTGAAAGGAGGAAAGGTTTATTTTTTTAACCTCACAATTATAAAGGTTTCCATCACAGTCCTCTGGCTCCAAGGCAGGGCAGCCTGACAGAGGAGCAGGGCGCAGGAGAGACAGTCCATGGCATGGTAGACAGGAAGCACCAAAGAGCAGCATCAAACCTTCCTTTTCTTTCTAGTCCACTCGGGCTATGGAACTATTGGTTTGGTGCCACCTGTACCCAGGGTGACCTTCCCATATCCCAACCCAAACTATGCTAAACCAGTCCATGGACTAATTCAGTTGTCACGCACTTCTAACCCCTGTTCACACATTCTGGATCTAGCCACCCCTTCAAAGTCCCACCTGTGAGCACATGAGCCTTTGAGGGGATATCGAGATGCAACCATAACACCAGGTAAACTCCGGGTATGGTACTGAAGGATTTGTATTTATCATTTCAATTTTGATAAATGATATCCAGAAGTTTGTCTTTAAAAAAATTTGAAGTAAATGGTCAGTATTTATGGGATCAGTATTACTAAAAGAAGTAAATTAAGTGCTTAATTTACAGAATTTGAATAAGAAATATATGATCTTTGATAGCATATATTTTTATAGTAGAAAAGGTATAAATCCTTCCTGGGGTTTTGAATAACTCCTTGTTTTGGAAATGTTCTGCAATTATGCTAAGCATGTAAATCCAAATGCTGTAGCGGTTGTGTGTTGGTTTCCTCTTACAGTTTTCTTCCTATTCGTTGACTTTGGGTCATTCTAACTGCGAATGAGTGGTTATCTGCATTTGTAGCCTCACAAACAAGTTACTTGCTTTCTTCTCCTTAAGAATCTGATCAGTGCTGAGGGGAAAAAATAGTGCAAGGTGGCGAATTGGTGCCATCCTGGGGTGGGGGGTCAGTCCCAGTCATGTTCTTTCCAGTCCCGAGCACTGTTCAGCCATAGCCTCCTGCCCTGTCTCCCACCCCACTGCAGCCTGGTGTAGACAGGCCGCTTTTTAATCTCACACTTAATACCTCACCACGTGGTTGCTTCTTTATGTGTTGAATACACTCATAAAATTACCAGTGTTCGATTTTCATATTAGAAAATAGTTCCATCCACATTGAACTTCAGTGAGCTTATCTTCATCTTTGAACTTTGGGAGTTCCTAGGTTTGGGAGTTGATGGCCATTATGGTTTGTGTCTAGTTGTCCGCACAAAGCCTCATACAGTCATGGGGTAGACTTCTAGAGGTTGAGATTAATTCATGATCCAGTGCTGGGATTATGGGTGTGACTGCCCGAGGCAGATAGTCTGGATGCAGTGTAAGGAGGGGAGAGAGGCTTGCTCTCTGCTGCTGCTGCTTCTCCCTCTCTGCTCTTGCTGTTTTCCGCCACCATGAAAAGCTGCCCTCTGCCATGTGCCACCCTGCCTTGGAGCCAGCCAAGTATGGACTGAAACTTCCACACTTTGAGCTAAATAAGCCTTTCCTTCCTTAATTTTGGGTGTCAGGTAGTTAGTCCCAGCAAAGAGAGAAAAGTAACCAGCAGAGTGGCCTCATCTCCAAAGTTAACCCATCCCCTCAGATGGGTTAACTGTCAGGATCTGGCTCTATCAGATCCAGGTCTTTTCATATCTCCGTTATTTAACTTTTTCCTGGGCTGCTTTCCATTATAGTATAATATAGCCAAGTCTTTTCTGTCTTATACATAATTGGCTTTTAAAGCTATATCTAATGTTCCATATATGGAAAAGCTAAATATCAAGTATATGTGAGATTTAAAGAATAATATAACAAACACTATCCAGCTTAAAACTAGGTTCTTCACAAAATTTCTGAAGCCTTTATATGTGCTGACCCTCTCTCCCTCCCCAAATAATATCCTGTGCTTATGTTTATATCACCTTGCTTTTCACTTGTTTGTGTCCGTTGTGTGGCCTCAGACTTTTTTCATGCAAATTTTTTTTTTTTTTTTTTTTTTCAGAACCGGGGATTGAACTCAGGCCCTTGCACTTGCCAGAGAAGCGCTTATTCCACTGAGCCATCTCCCCAGCCCCTCATACAAATGTTTTTAACGTAAACAAATCGAGGGTTTTCACTCACCATCGTGCCTGAGCTATCCATCTCTGTCGACGTGGGAGGCTGTGGTTTTTCTTCTGCGGTCCTGCTTTGTATTTTTTCTTGTATTTTCCTTCCCCTACCCCACTTGCACATTGTCTTTGCGCTCTTCTAGACGCTACCTGACGGGCTGTGTCCTGTGCTCCAGAGAAATGCCCTTCTCCACTTCCACTCCTCAGGTATAGTTTAGTTGGCTTTTCTCTGCAGGCCTTACTGCCGGAAATAAAATTCTTTTTGTCTTCAACAAAAAATTAGTCCCTTCTCCTTAATTATGAATCCATCGCAACTAAGGATCTTTCTCCTTTCACTTAAGAACAAAATCATAGAAAGAGTAGTTATACTGATGGTTTCTATCTTAGACCATCTTAGGCATTCGTTGATCTCTTGAGAGTTGGCTTTCTGTGCTTGTTCAATTTTTCTCTTGTAGTAATTCTTTCTTTTTAAACAAAGCTCATGGTAGGCTCCTTTGTTGTCCTCTGCTAGGTGTTGAATACAAGCCACAAGGACTTTGTAATCTGATATTTTGGTTTAGAGCACATTGGAACTAATTCTAATGTAGTGCTGATTATGTTCTTACATAGAGAGTGAAGCCTTCATTTCACAACGTGAAGGGCTCTCGAAATTACAATTGTGCCGTGGAAGTCTCCTGACGCTGCACTAAACCTGTGCTAATTGTGGGGTGAGAAAAGGCGGGAGCCCCTCGCCTCTCACCTGAAAATGCAGAAACGCAGTTTAAACATCTGCTGGCATCCAGAGGTGGAAGCAAACTTAAATGGAAGAAATACAGCCCAGTGTTTTCTTTTATCCAGAGACTGGGTGTGTGTTGGAATGTGACTTGAGATCAAGATAATGAAGCCTCACACTTGCTCTGCAGTAGGACAG